CTGAATATTTTGAAAAAGTCCTTGAACAGAAATCAGAAAGCAGGAGCAGTGTGGGAAAACAGTGAAAATCACAGAAAATCTACATCTTGTTAGATACCTTTTCATTAGAAAATGTGTTTTATTTCATGGACATGCTTATTCAAACATAAAACTCTGACAACTCCCTTTGATATGAAACAAAAATTTTAAAAATTTTCCCGTATCTGTGGAGGTTACATAGTCATAAATATATAGATTCATATTTATACATGTAGAACATCATTTTTACCAATAGTTCTTCCTTTTTGTTTTGAAGCTGTCTTTGTAAACAGCAAAGGAATATGGATAGTTAAATTTATCACAGCATTAAAGCTAATGATAAACTAACCATCTAAAAAATGAAGTGGAAGAAAAATAAGTTTCAATTTAAAACATCAAATAACATTCCAGCATTTGATTTAAATTTTTATTACCTGCATGAAAAAAGATTTTGGACATTTTGCCATTGAGATCAATAAACAAGTTGTCTGCCACTTAAATTTCCTTTGAAGACAGTTTTAAAAATGCTAATCATATAATGTAAAATGTATTATATTATAGTTTTTTTTCTATTGTGGAGAATATATAACTAGGAAGGAATTAGTTTATTAGTATTATTATTTAAATTGTACCCTGCTCAAATTACCAATGAATTGAAATAGGCTATTGATTAATTCCAATAATGTTAAAAACTATCACCCCTAATAACTTTTTAGTCATTAGGTGATCATTCACTCAGAGCCAGACAAGTCTATTTTTTAGTATTTTTAATAAAAATAAGCAAAGAGAAACTGAGTGGAATGCATAAGCAAATATAAAATTATTTAATACGACTATACAGCTACCATATCAAAATCGAGATGTTTATATTCAGTATAATATGACAGACATCACTGTGTTTGTTTCCCTTGTGGTACAATTCACTGGCAATCTTCTCATTTACAAACTAAGCCTCAAAGATAAAAAAAACTTTAAATATACAGACTTTCAATCAAATGATATAATATTTTTATATTAAACAGTTCTCACAGTTCATTCATAGAGGTATCTCACTTTCACAACAGCCAAGAGATTTGCTCAGTATTTGAAACCCTTGATGGTTCTTGACATAATTTCTTATTCCCTACCACTTTTCTAGATTCCTTATCATTGATTTTACTTCCCTCTTGGTTGTCTATGAAATCTTTCAGTCCCCTTCACATTAATTCCCTAATCCAGTGATTGTTCTGATGTCTCCCATGTTCAGATGCAGCATGACTAAATATATTATCATTATAAACAAGCCTGGCATAAGGTATTTATTGGAACATCATGATTATTAGAAAATCCACTTCACCTCTGCACAGAATGCTCAAGTAGATCCAACACTAGTGAATCTCAGGATCCATTCTGCCAGTCTTCCAGATTAAGGGATACATGGAGGTGTTTGCTCTGGGAGCCCTTAAAATCATGTATAATTTCTACAAGGGATGAATGCAACTGCATCAGGGATGACATTTTGGATGCTAATTGAGATAGCATGAACGGTAATTAAATGTTCCCTTCAAATGTCCATTCCTATATGCAAAAAATAAAAGGGAAAAAAAGCCACACACAAATTGCACTATTTTATTTAAACAATTATTTAATTTTATTCCTTAACTTTCATAAAAAACACCAGAGGATTAAATAAGATAAAATATTAATCCTTTATCTTCCCATTGGATAACATGGGTTATTTTACATAGATGTGACATCCTTGGCTATAAAATAATGACTTCAGTTACTTAAATAGCACAAAATAACGCAGTCCTCCATAAACCAGGCATAGTCCGGGAAGTCATGTTGTGTTTTCTAACTAAACATATTGGATACGTTGTAATTCGCCCAAAGTCTTTTTGGGGTTGAGCGGCTTTAACAAATCTACTAAGTATATAAGCAAATAAATACATACACACACTCCCAGGTAATGATCAGCAGGAGAGGCTGAGAGGTAACATGGCACCTACCTGGTAGAATGCTTTGATTCTGCCTCGCCTAATATTTTAACTCACACCATTTTTGTTGTTTTATATGTATAAATCATCAAGTCACCTTCAGCTGGTTAAAGGCTTCTTCTGCCTAATATAATCAAAAATCATTTAACATCCCAGGAGCTTCTGAAATTCTCTTTCTGAGGAGTTAAACAATTTATACATGAAACATTAGCCTCAGTTAAGAGCTCTGAAGGCCTGTAAAAAATACATTTACCAGGAGCAAGCTATACTGATTTAAACCAGATTACTTCCAAGCATATTTGAATGGGAATGATACTTATATGGAAATTCTACACGCAATTAGGCAGCCTAAATCCTACTGAAATCAGAGAATCTAGCCCTAGAGCCACCAGACAAGCGTTAGGATGGAACAGGGAACATCCTGTCAGTGGAAAGGAACAATACTGGTGGAAGGGGGCGGGGTACGACGTGCACCTGCCTTGGTGGACCAGTTGTACCTGTGGAAATGCCATAGGAAATGTCCTAATGCTGGTGGTTCCACTGGCACCATACCCCCCTGGAATGTGGCAAAGAAGGGGTGACTTTTCCTCAGGCTTTGTATCCACTAGGTCCAAATTCATTCAGTCCTTCCACCCCCAAAGATGTAAGATGGTACAGCCAATGCTATATCCACTTAGATTTGTATTATAAAGTAGAAATTTTAACCCTTTTTGCTAAGAAGTGAGTGCCATTTCTCTGTTGGGATGTCTTCTGAGTAGCATGAACTGAGTAAATATGATTAAAATTAAACTGTTGATGCATTTACTTCCTAAATAAGTAGGTGACAGGAGAAATATGGGCAAAACAGTTGGAGGATGGTTACTTAACAAAATAATACAATTTATTTTAATCTATCTTTTTAAAATATGCAAAGAAAAACTTTGCTCTATCTATTTTTCAAAGGCATTAGATGCTGTCAAACACCCTCACTTGCTTTTGGAATGAAATGTTTAAGGGTTTCTCATTATATTTTATTACAATTGCATTGGAAACTAATGATTTATTCAAAAGTCCTTAATTATTGTTTAAATTTCAATTGCCCACATTTTCTTCCTTCCTAGTCATCTCTAAATCATGAACTTAAAAATAGGCTACCAGATTATCTGGGCAAATCATAATGCTCAGCTTATCTCTCTCTCTCTCTCTCTCTCTCTCTCTCCTGAAAACATACAATTTATTCTGTCTACCAGTTCAGAGGCAGTGAGCAAAGAGTAATCCTGTGTAAATTGTCTGGCTACATGTATTTCCCTGGGGTGTATACATACATGTGTTAAGTGAGCTTGTGCTCAAAAATCCAGGACAAAAACATGCTAACCATCAGACATGATTTCATGCCTATGCTTGTGGGTTGTGTTCATGGTTGTGGCAGAGGGTGTTTATGTTTGTGTGTCACGACAATCTTATTCAGTCAGGGAAAACAACCTCAGAAAGCACAATAGAAGGTTGCAATTGTTTTGTTTCCTTTTGTATTATTCTCTGATCAAAATAGATTCTCCCAAATCAAATAGCTATTCCCTCTTAAAAAAACAAACAATCTGTGCACTGCCAAAGACAACAGTAAATAAGTCCCCATCTCTCTTTTATCTCTTTCAACTTAGATTCAAAACAGAATTGCATATAAAAGCTAGGCTTGTTGATGTGCTGGTCCAGCAGACTCGAATATGTAAACCATCCCTATTCTCTTCCTTTATTCCCAGTACAAGTGTGCAAAACTGTAGACACCTGAGGAAGCCCTGCAGGAATATAAATAGCCTTTCTTGAGGCAGGGGGAGGGGAAATTGCAACAGCACATTCCTAAAGATGGTGCAGAGCAGCTTTTCATAGGAATAATTCAGGAAAGAAAGCCTCTTAAGAAGTTAAACAGGATGATATTGCATACAGACAGTGGAGGAAGAATCTGCTGCCACTAAGAAGAATCGGGTAGAAATGCCACAAACATCTCAAGGAGGTGGAGTGATTTTCCCATTAGGCTATGGAACAAGAGGTAAGAGAAAATATCAGTCTGCTTGGGAAACTGGAGAAGGGGATGGTGTAAAGTTTTCTTGAATAATAATAAAAACAACAGTTTGCCTTTCTAATGTTTTCATATAAAGAAATAATTTCCTTCACATCAATTCCTCACTGTCAACCCCACAGATTACCTAATTCAAACTTTCTTGTATCCCTTGTTGCTCACCTAATGTTTACAAGGGTGTTCCACCACTCAAAGATAGACTGTTTTTAGCTCTCTGTAATCATCTATCAACCATACCCCACATTTTTCATTTTAAAAATATCCCCAAATTAGGCATATAATGAATATATATTAGGCACATATATTCATAGGGAGAGATATGCTTCACAGTACCAGTTCCACACTGTCAGATCCTTTCTATCCCCAAAAAACAAACAGCATATGCACTTTTTGAGACAGCCAGAGCAATTATTCATACAGTGTACCAAAAATCTGCAATCTAAGAGGACTTCATGCCAATGCCAGTGCCATTCCTACCCTTTACTTCTACCAGATTTCCTCATCAGATATTATGCTCTAACCTGTAAGAGAAGCCTTCTCACGTGCATCCAATATCCAGAAAACATACAATACTTCTCATCATGAACTGCAAATCATGTTGCAGTTCCAAGCCTTATGGTTAGAGAGATTCCCATAACATTTAATTTTTCAAACAATCTTTCGCAAAAAAGTTTGCTGTTTGCATAATAGAATTGTACAAGATCAAGAAGACTGTTGGCATTTGTGAGAACCTTGAAAAATAATACCAGAAATAAAGTTCTTATTCTAAAAATCTTGCACCCATGTTTTTAAGAAGAGATTCAGCTGGCTTGTCCTAATCATTATCAGTCCCCAAGAAGATCATATTCACATACTGTATACTGTGACCACTATTTTTCAGCATGGTCCCCCTTCTCCCCCTTGAGGACCGAGGCACAGCCAGGTGAGGAGCAGTTTGGGGGAGACCTACTCACCGTCCTCCAGAGGGGCTGCCTCTTGGCACTGACTGAAGTGGCAGTGACGATGAGATGGGAGACCGCCACCACCAAACCGAAGACGATGGCCAGGAGAGTGCGGACGGGCAGGAGGGAGTAGGAGACGAAGGTGACCAGCATGAGCTGCCACATGCCCTGCTCGGGGGCGCTGGGCGGCTCCATGCCATAGGCGCCCACCGAGAAAGGGCAGCAGAGGAAGGCGAAGGTAAAGCTGAAGAGCAAGGTGAGCTTCACGATCTGCTGCAGCTGTGTGACTTGCAGGTACTTTACGTTGGTGACGATGAAGAGGGAGAGGAAGATGATACAGTGTACCGGATGGGAGCCCTTGGAAATGGTCAGGCTGGGGCCCGAGAGCAGCTCCAGCAGCGCCAGGCTGGCCGTCAGCGCGATGAGCACGGCCAGCGCCTTCAGCGTCGACGTCTGCTCCAGCTTCAGATTGTAGTTCTGGAAGAGCGACTCCAGCTCCTTGCAGTCGAACTGGTCCTCGCAGGCGACGCCGTCCAGGAGGGGTGCCGGGGGACCCGCTCCGACGGGTC